GTCTGGTGGGGAAAGTCTTAAAATGACACACAAGTGAGACTTCCTAGGCCAGTGGTTCTCAACCAGGGACAACTTTGCCTCCCAGAAGATGTCTAGCAATGTCTGGAGATTTATTTTTTTAACTGTAGGAAAATATATAACATACAGATTTGCCATCTTAATAATTTCTAAGTGTATAATTCAGGGGCTTTAATTACATTCACAATATTGTCAACCATCACCACTGTCTGTTTACAAAATTTTTTATCACCTCCTACAGAAACTAACCATCAAAGCAGCAACTCGTTCTTCCCCTGACTCCCCTCCCTGGGGGAAACATTTCTGAATGTGAGGACTGTTTTTCAGTGGGGGCCAGTACTTCTGGAATCTACTGGGTAGAGGCCAGGGATGCTACTCAGCAACCTACAACGCACAGGACAATCCTTTGGGACAAAGAGCTATCGTGTCTAAAACGTCAATAGTGGCGAGGTTGAGAAAGCCTGCCCTGGGTTGAGACGGGCATCCACACAGGAACTGATTACACTGCACGGGTTCTACTGCAACTCTGAGGATTGCGTAAGATCAGGAGGGCCTTAATTTAGATACACGTACGTGCACACTGGGGGCCTCTGACAGATTCCTCAGCTGCTACTCCTCCTAGGAGGCGGGACTCTGTGTCAACACGATGACAGCTTCTTCTAATGCTCGGGTTATCAAAAGGATGCCCAAGGGTGAGGTCATAGCAGAAATGTCCCTCTGGAACAAAAGCACATAGGGAATGGGTAGCTGGTAAGAACGATAGCTCTGGGGAATGCAGGACCGCTTAGAAAGATGAGCTTTGCTTGGGAGCTCCCATCCAGACACTAGGAATATTTCAGGAGCACGGCAACAGCACATTGCCACGTAAGGGCACACAGCACCTCCAGGCAAGGTCTCCACTCCCACCCTATCTGTGGGGCCCAGAGCCCAGGTCAACACTGATTCTCATGGTAACAGAGACAAAGAAATGAATGACTCATCAACAAATAGAGTAGTACAGGGATAAATTCTAGAGTATGTATGTCAGAGGAAATTCTGTGCAGCTCAAAATTCTCCTAAAAGCAAACATCTCAGGTCTCAAACAGTCCAAAGCAAAAGAATAAAAGTACAAAACAGTATTTCCTACAACTGAGCCCTAGGTAAGCTGTACTCAGAAGCCATGCTGTACATAAATCATTGTGTTTTTAAGATGCTGGACCTCACTCAACACAATAGACCCACACTTTGAAAGGTGCACAGAAACTTTTCCCAAGAGCGGGACTGGCAGGTTCACAGCCTCGGACCAAGCTACCCTGGGACAAGTCCTTGCTGAGTGGAAAGGCAGGCAGACTCACCTGCTGAATGATCAACGCTGCATGTGAGCAGTCTCCGCAATATGTGGTGTGCACTATTCCGTGCCAGATATCCTGCAAGCCTAAACAGCTCAAACTGCAGCTTGAGTCCTGGGTGAGGATGAAACCCATTCCAGAACCATCCAGTGAGGCCACAAAGCCAGGATCAGACACCACCATTCACCATCTGAGCCTGGCTTCTCCTGCCCGTACCCTGACCACTCTGGTCTCTCTCCTGCTAAGGGCAGATCTAGTGCTGTCGTCATCATTTCCCTGTTTCTTTGATATGCAATGTGGAAATTAAAAGTACACATCTTGAGAAACCCTTAAAAAGGCCCAGACTATTGAAAGCTACCAAAGAACCAACCCTCCCTCGTGGCAGGGGGGCCCTGTGCAGTGGTGAGTGGCCGAAAGCCCAGGTTCGGGGGCCAGTCTGACTTGGATTCACACTCAGCTCTGTCGCACACAAACTTAGAGGGCAAGCCACGTCACCTCTGTGCCTGGTCTCGTCTTAGTTACGGTCTCCTCCTACAGCTGGGAGGAGGGTTAAATGAGAGAATCCAGGGGAAGGGCTTAGCATAGACTCTGACCCACTCAAAGCGCTCAATCACACCATCAAGTGCTTTCACTGTCTGAGCACAGACGCGGAATGGCCTCTCATCTTATACAGAAAACAGTTTGAGACCTGCATCTTCACAGCCCTCGCCATCACAGATCCTGAACTTGAAAGAATGTGGTCGGAGTGATCCAGCCACTTCTGTGAACATAACACACACTTCTACCTGGAGCAGCAGCAATGGGCCAGCCACCAAATTAGCTCTCTAACACTTGTTCCCTCCATAGATGTCTCTCCACCTGGGGACAGTGATAGCTCCTTGTCTCTACATGGCACAAGGCAGAGCATGGTGGCTGACGGTGCTTAAGAGATGCTACGCCTTGGTTTGAGTCCTGGCTCCAACATTCCCCGGCTACATGACCTCAGGGCAAGGGAACTTCTCTATGCCTCAATTTCATCACCTGCAAAATGCAGATCATAATCACACCTACCTTGGAGTTACTTGAACAGTGCCTGGCAAAGAAAGCAGTGCTTTTCTGTTTTGGTTGGTTTGTTTTTTTTTCTTTTAAACAAAAGAGATGGTCTCTGAGACCTCAAGTTTAGGGTTTCTCAAATCCAACTCATCTCCCCACCCCTACCCTCAGCCTCATTCTCCTCCATATTCTAATTTGGTAGCATCACTGCCTACCCAAGCTAAAAAAATCTCAGCTCTTCCCATACCTTCTCCTTGGCTTTGCCTCTTCTCCTGCCCCCCTACCTCACCACTCTTCTGGTCCACCAAATGATCAAGTCCTGTCACTTCTACCAAAAACTCTTCCCCTGCCCAGCCCCCAGCAGTGCCTTAGCACAGACCCTCTTCTCATATATAGATCCCTACAACCCCTCCTGACAACCATCTGACACCAGTCTCACCCCTCTCTAACCCATCCTCCTGCAGGCTCCCACCAGATTCACAGGGACACCAATCTGATCATGTCCCTCTCCTCCCTTTAAACCTTCGATGGCTCCCCACTAGTCCTTCCAGGAGTGTGCAAAGCCCTCAACAGTCTGGTCCCCGTCTCCCCATTTAGGCTTCACTCCTACCATTAACCTACACATACTCTGTGCTCCAGCTGTGAGCAACGTGGCTGCCTCAAAAAAACGTCAGATGTTTTCACCATTCTGCGCCGGTCCCTACGCTCTGTTCTGACAAGAGCTCCTCCCACAAGGTCCCACTCCTCCACTTGGACCCAGCTGCAAGGCCGCCACCACTCTTAAAGCTTTCTTTCTTCAGCCTGTAGCAACCTCCTCACTGCTTCCTACCAGCCGACTATCAACTCTCAAGTGCAGGCAAGGGTCTTGTCCTTCATCCATGCCCCAAGCCCCTGGGGCACAGTGTCTATATACAGTAGGCATTGAATAAGCAAGCAATCTGGCATACGGAAGAGACATTGAAAACACTTATCAGATTTAAAGGTATCGTACCATCTTTCTCAGTTAAAAACTGTCCAGGTTCCAAATACAGAATCTTGAAAATACAGGAGCAGAGAACAAGGCAGGAGGTTCTAACCAGGAAGGCATTACAGGATGCCTACAAGACAAAGGAGTCTGAGGATCAGCCTTGAGCCTCTTCAAAGGCCAGCACTGAGTTGACAAACTGGTGTTAGCTCTACTGCCCCTTGATACTACTGAAAACAGGATGTAAGCAAGAGGCTAGGGTCTCTCTCACGGAGACCCATTCATTACTTTCCCCAAGTTCCAAGTGCGCAAGTTCTCCCCCTAGAGGTGATCATTGGGAATGCACACCTATTCTAAAAAGGTGCCTTTTTCCATCTTTCCAATCTTACCACTGAACTCACAAGTGTCTGTTGCATCAAAAGGACCCTAAGCATACTCAATGCACCGCAGGGCTGATAACAGTCTAGCTGGCGCCCATACATCTTCCCACAAAGGCAAGGCACTAGCCTACTGGATCCCCTACCCACTGCAACCCCACCAACAGGCAAAGGGCACTGAGTAACAGGAACACTGGTAAGTCAGGACTTGTCCCCAGCTTGGCTACTTCAACCAACCTGATGTACAGATATCATAACCACAGTCAGACACACTCAGCTATAAGCCCTACAAAAAACAACAACAACAACAACAAAAACAAACAAACAAACAAACAAAAAGCCCTACCAAGTCTTACCATGACCTGGAGCTTTACCTGCATTTTCTCTGGCACAGGCAAACAGCCAGGAAGCTGGGTACTGCCAGTCAGCAAGCAAGGTGGCAGTTGATCAAGTCTCTGGAGGAAGATGTCTGCTACACCCTACCAGCCCCCGCCAGCTTGGGTGCCGCATGTTTTCTGCCTGATTCCTCTGTACCCAGCATCCTGCGTGCAGTCTCATCCGGGCTGGCATGGAGACAAAATCTCCCACCGCACCCCAATACCTTATCACACTAAGAGCTAGACAACGTCACCAAAACCCACCAAGGAGAGATGACTTAATGCATGGCTTTCTGCATTTTTCCCCCCAACCTATGGAAATGCAAACTCCCTGCCCCACCCATTCACTAAAGGTGCAACTTCCCCTCCAAGCCGGCAGAAGGCAAAAGGATCAGAGCTCTTGGCCCCTCAGGTTTGCATCTGCTTTCCACAAGACACGTGGGGGTGACTAGCAATGATAGACTCGAAACGCCCCGCAGCTGTCTCTGGGGACAATCTTTCAGGAATTTCCCCCGAGGTTATGCGCTTCTTAGGTCGTGCATCGCTTAAGGAGCTCCTAAAAGTGGGATCTAAAGTCGGCTGACAGCCAATCTGACAAGTTTTTAACTGAAAGCTGGAACGGACAGGATTTCCGGTCACCCTCCCTGGGAATGTAAATATTAGGAGTTGGAACTTGAGCACAATTCGCTTTCTTGGGGATGGAGACTCCTCCCACTCTCCCTGGCCACGAGGAGCGGACGGGGAGGGGATCGGGGATCCGAGGGGATACACAGAGTGGGGAGAGTTGGGGAACCCCCACCGACCAACCGGCCAGAGCTCCTAGCTGACCTCAGTTTCCCATTTTTTGAAGACGGTGTCCCGTCCGACAGGGAACCGAGGAGACCTGAGGGGCCGGGCCGCTCACCTCTCGCGCCGAGCGGAGCTGCTGGCGCAGCGCGTCCTTGCAGCCATAGGGGCCTCCGGCGCCCGCGCCGCGGGGCTGGAAGTGCGCCTCGACGCGCGTGGCCCCGCGGTAGGCGCCCTGATAGAAGGAGGGCCAGCCGAGTTCCAGCAGCGGCGGCTCCAGGTCCGACTGCTCGGGGAAGTAGGTGCCGGACGAGCAGTCGTGCGACGAGCCGAAAGAGTCCTCGGCCCCCGCCGCCGCGCCCTCCTCGCCGGGCCTTTCGGCCGCGCGCAGGATGGCGCGCACCTCGTCTGGGTTCAAGAAGCGGCCGAGGCGTTCGCGTCGCAGGAACGCCGAGAAGGCGTCGGGGCCGCCCGCCAGCAGCTCCTCGAGCGCCAAGCGCCGCTCCTCGCTGTACAGTTCGGCCGGGTTGGGAGGCCCACACGGCGACAGGCAGGCGGCGGGCAGTTCGTCCAGGCCATCGTACCTCAAGGCCATGGCGGCGCTCGGACACTACCCGGCTCGGGCCAGTACGGGCGTGCGAGACGCTTTATAGGCACCTTTGAATCTAACCAGCCCGCGCCATTGGCCGCCCCCGCCCAGCCCGGGCTCTCCCATTGGCTGCCTTCTTCTAACGGCACTGTACGGAAGTAGTGCTTGCCTCTACGGCTCCGCCCCCTAACTTGCTATTGGTGGCCCGCGGCCCGGCCTCTCCCCTGAAGCCCCGCCCCCTCCCAGGCCTTCGTAAGACGGCAGCTGGGTCCAGGTTCTCGCTCCAGAGTTGCTTGGTGGAATTTAAATCTTGGCTACTACGTGCCTGCTCCGAGGTAGCGTTCCTGCTCTGGCCCTGGAGGGAGCTGAGTTCATCAAGAGAGCCGGTGCCAGGCCTAAGTGGCCGTGGTACCCGGGGTGGTGGGACAGGCTAAAAGTCTGGATTGAAACCCGAGAGCCCGGCCCCCGCGCCAGCCTGGCGCGCCCTCTGCCGCCCGCCCCACAGCGCGGCCCTTGCAAGGCCCAAGGAAGTCAGGAATGTGCACGCACAGGAGAGGCTGGAACCTGCTGGGGCACGCTGACCCACTGACTGCGCCTCCCCAGGGCTTACAGAGTTTGGGTGAGGCTCACCCATGTTGCCTTTATCCCCAGCACTTAATCATTCATTCGTTCGTTCAAAAATACTGGTCCATCATAATAGCTACTCGTTTGATTGCGCCTTCAGGGTAGCTATCTTTCTCTTCTCTCACCTCACCGTTTTTTGCCTGGCGAACCCCTAACCCTAGCTAAACCCCACTCTCCACCTACTTTCCACCTGCACCCGGGCAGACATAAAATTCTTGAGAAAAGAAAACACAACGATGTCTACCAATTGTGCCTGAAATTCATGGTCTCAAGTAGGCCCTTAAGATTGCCTGCTAGCCTACATTTTCCTACGTATACCTCTTCCTCTTTCTTACTCTTTTTGCCTCCTATTTCACTGAGGAAAATAGTAGCAGTCAGAGAAGACAGTCCCATATGCTCCCGCCACATCTTCCTCCCTGTCTGTATCTCTGCCCACATACTGGGCCTTGTGTTACTATGGATGAACTGCCCCGAGCTTGTCTCTGATACCTTCTATTTGGGCAGTAACCACCAATCCCTCTACTACTAAGCTTATGTCTCCAGCAGTTCTCTCCTCGCTCCTGGATGATCAGTCTCCCTGCTTTACTGTTTCATTCCTATCAGCATACAAATATTCTGAATTTTTTTTCACCCTTCAAACAACCCTCTCTTGACCCTACATCCCTCTAGAGCTTCCTCCCTATCTCTCTCACTTTTATAGCATAAAGCCTCAAACGAGCTGTCTATACTTGCCATTTCCAGTCCTTCTCCCATTCTGTCTTGAATCCTGTCCAATCAGACTCATTCCTCACTGCTCAACCAAAACCTCTTGTCATGCTCGTCATGAGGGACTTCCCTGGTGGTCCAGTGGTTATAAATCCACCTTCAATCCCTGGTTGGGGAACTAAGTTGCCACATGCTGCTACAACTAGAGAATCTGTGTACCCCTAAGGAGAGATCCTGCTAGACACAACTAAGACCCAATGCATCCTAATTAATTAACTAAAAGATCATCATGAGCTCCATAGTGCTAAATCTAATAGCCAATTTTCATGCCTCATTCCCTTTGTGTGAGAAGACATATGTACAACTGTAAAGTCTTCATAAATATGAGAGGTTACCACTAGCATTTTAAAAACAATATACTTTTCAAATCAATGAATGTCCACTGCTACACAGGTATCTCTGTTCATCCTCTCTCCCCAAACCCAGCCTGTTTGTGAAGTTTTTCAAGCCCAAGTGTGGGAACTTCTGTGTGTCCCTGTCATGGTAGCCAGCATCCAGAAGGGTCCAAGAGAGCACTCTTTTTCATCCTCTTCCAAGATACCCACAAATTTCTGTATGTGGTGAAAGAAAGGACCACTGTCTGGGACTGTGTAACCCTAGAGCTTATCAATCTCTCCATTGCCTGAGGTCAGAAGTGAGGATAACCACAGTCTTACCTCCTGAGTTGTTGTAAAAATGTGAAGTAGTATTTGACTTCCCCACTGTAAACTATATGAGGAGGACAGGGATGGAGTGAGGAGAAGAGAAGGACAGGTCAAGAGAACAGAAGAGAGAGGCAGCCCTGTTACATATGTCATCAGACAAACAATTAAGTGTGGGGAGAGAATGTTATAGGAACTATCACAGGGCTCCATGTTAATTTCAAAAGCAACATTTGGTCGGATGAAGGTCATTTCTTATTTTTGCTTCGCTGGGTCTTCATTGCGGCGTGCAGGCTTTCTCGAGTTGTGGTGCAGAGGCTTCTCTTGTTGCACACGCAGCATGGGCTTAGTTGTCCTGAGGCATGTGAGATCTTAGTTCCCTGGCCAGGGATCGAACCCTCGTCCCCTGGATTGGAAAGCAGATTCTCAACACTGGACCACCAGGGAAGTCCCTGAAGGTCATTTTCAAATACCCTTCTTTTCTTGATTTCATCATGTTTCAGCTTCTTGCAGTCTAGAAAGATACCTGCTCCATGGCTGAGCCCTCAGGCCTCCCTGTGATTCAGGGGCCAACCAGGAGAGGCCTCTGTGGTGGGGGCAGGGACAGGGAAGCCTCCCCTACCAACTATCCCAGGCATCACCTCTTTGTGAATTCAAATCCTTATAGTTCAAGCAAGCTCATAGCAATGACCACAGCCACACCGAGCAGGTGTTATTAAAAGGAATTTAATTCATCTTAATTAAAAACTCTTTAACAGCCAATTCTGTCACAGGCCTTGGCAAATGGAAGTGACTCCAGGGGCACGCCCCTTTGGGATGTGGTTGAGCCACGGTCTCGAATGGCCCACCACTGCCACGTGTGGCAAGGAGCTTACCTGGAAGTTACTTCAATACAATATCAAAGATCTGCGAGGATTTTTTTTTTAAAAAAAGGTTTTAAATATATTAGACTCTCTTGATTGCCATTTTTACACAAAGCTGCTGATACAGTATACAGAGATTTAACTTTTTTTTCACATAAAATACATTTTTCTTAAGTGTTCTCTGTACATCAGTGGCTTCTGGTCTGGTGAATTATTGCGGGGGGGCTGGGGATCTGCAGACTTTTCCTGGGTGCGCAGAGCCAGGCCCCGCACCTTGGCACTCACAGTGCCCATGGGAAGCAGGCCCTCTGACCAACTGGCCAACAAGAGACTCTTGTCGAGGAGTGCTTCTAGCAAAGGCAGTCACTTCTGCAGAGTCACCCACTGGCCACATGACCCTTGGCTCTTAGGTGCCCTGGGGGAGGGGAGGCTGTCCCCAGGTCACAATAGCAAGAGTTAAATAGAGTCCTTCTAGGCATCCTGTAAGAAGTGCGCTTCTGGAAAGCATCCCAGTATTCTGCTCTGGAAAAGCAAGTGGGAGAGAGAACTCCAGATCAAAAAGTACCTGACATCAATAACCAAAATGGGTCTCATGTTATGACAAGGCCAGCCAACTAGTGGGTAGGTCAGGGGACACATCCTTGTTAACTTTTCTAAGCCTGCTGAGATTGATCAAACAGTACGGGGCAGTTTCATCAATGCTGCATAATCTGATGGAGAATTACATCCTGAAGTCTTCAGAAGACCTTAGGCTTGTGGTTCATTCAACTTCCTTGAGCTACTAGCCAGCAGCTCAGTCTCTGGTGGGTGTCACCAATTTTCAGGGTGGGAGCAAGGGCCGGAGCTCACATGGAGCTATGTGGCACATGCTTTAGAAACAGCCTCCTTTCATCTGCCAGGAACTGCCACCAGACCTGGGTCTAACCAGGAGCTAGGCATCCAGTCGATCTTGCCAGCTTTCTCCCTGCTCCTTGCTCTCTTATCTGCCAGGAACAGAGGCAGACTTATGAGGAAAGGCTTTGATGTTAAAGGAGAAGCGCCTTTTCCTCCCACTATCCACTGGTGGGGCAGGAGGATTAGGTAATAAACGAGCAAGAGACAATGAGCTGAAGAAGCTGAGATGCATTTGGCCGCAAATTCCAGGCTCCTAGCTCTTCTAGACACTGACTTCAAACTGCTGTTAGACAGTGCCCAAAAGATGCTGGCTGGAAGGCAGCTATCCTTGAGAGTTCCAGATAGGCTTCAGATGGTATCTACCTGGAACCCAAGACCCAGCATCTCCACCATTTAGTGGCAGATGTTATCCAATGGTGGCCATGTCAGCAACCTCCAAACTAAAGGAATCCACAGTCCAGGGATTCTCAAGAGCAGAAAAGCAAAGGGTTGATGGACCAGGACACAGCTTTTCTGTCTCTGAATCAAATGGGGGTTGCTGGTACTCGTGGTCCTCCAAGGATGAGAACTGTAAAGAGCAGTGTCCTCAGTCTACCTCATTCCTCCTTTATCCCCAGAGCCTAACACAGTGCCTGGTGAGCCTCAGCTACTCAATAAACTACAGAGTGAAAAACTCAATGACCTTGGCCCCAGCTTGTCCCTCGACACCAAGGAGATCCACAGGGAAAGTTCCCCTGGGACTTGATGGAAATGGTTTATCCCTGACTGAAAATATGAGCTAATGCCCAAGAGCCTGCAGTTGGCTCCTGTCGGGCAATCAGCTGGGATTCCCAGCCCTCTGGGTGGGAGACAGTGGCCCAGGAGGCAGGAAGCAAGGGAGGAAGGGAGGAAATAGCCAGAGGACTCAGAAGGGGCAATAAATGCCTTCAGTCTCTGGCCTCTGAGCAAACAGATCCGAAAACCTGCACGGCTGTCTCCTAGGAGCGTGTGGCTTCCCTCGGGACCTCCCAGCTCATAGCTCAAAATGAATTCCAGTGTCAGTCTCATCTGAACACTGTTTTTAAAGCCTAAAGGTATGCGTGTTTTGGATCATTCCTGCCCTGACCCAGTCATAGGATGAGATGATAAGAGCGCCAGCCCCAGACTCCAGAGATGTGGCAGGCATCATGCACAGCTGTCTGCAGTCACCTGACCTGACTTTCCACCCTACACTAGATCCGCCCTGAAACTGGGGTGGAAGTTGTCTGATGCTGTGACTCTCCCTGCATCCAGGAGCCACCAGGGGCGGAGTGACTCCTGAGGCCCCTGCTCTCCGGCCCAGCTGCCCTGCGCCTGGTGAAGCATCAGCCAGAGCCCTTGGGATCGAGCTCTGCCTCTGGGCTACAGGAGGCCTGGGGGCCACAGTGGAGGACTGGGACAAACAGCGGATCCCCTTGCTAGCGTTGTGGCACAAGGGGGCCCCCCCCAGCCCCAACCTCTGGCCCAGATGTCTCACAGGGAGAATTTCTCATAGGCTCAGAAAGAAAAGGATTAAAGGAAATCCAGATTTGTCCTCCAAATTTCCGAATCTGGACCTCAGGGGCCCCCTTCAGAGCTCTAAAGAGGTAGTTTTTGGACAAGTAAAAGGCGTGCAGAGCAGGAAACAGACCTGCAGCTAGTTAGTTACACCAGTAAGCTTTGGCCAAGCCCGTGGACAGTGCCCAACTCGTGGGCAACAATTTCAAAGGGCTCATGAGAGGATGCAGTGGAAAGGTGGCAGACATCCTGTCCCTCGTAGTCTTCCCTCCTCAGCATCAGAAAGGTTGGGGGCCATGAAATCGTAAAGCTGGCGCAAGACCCAACTCCAGCAGCACCACTTGAATGCAGTGCACGATGCTGGACCACAGATGGGCACCTTGGATCTGCAGGCTTGGGCAGGAGCAGGATAGCAGCCCCTGGGCCAGACAGGAGTTCACAAGAGCCAACTGGAAAACCCATGTCACCAGGCATTCCTAAAAAAGCAAAGCTGGGCTGGGAGTCCTGAACATTCACCCTGGGAGAGGTGGGGACCACAGCAGCCCCCCCACTGCTCACTTTGATGGCTCAGTCTGAGGAGGACTGGGTGAGACAGGCTGGACTGAAACCATCTGACCAGTCACAAAGCTCGGCCAGGGCACTGGGTTCTGTCATCTGAACAGAGATGCTTGTAGAAATTAAAAACATGAACTCACCTCTCTCCCTGGAAAAGCCCTTCCAACTGAAGCTTCTCCCTTAGCTTCATTTTTTTTTTCAATACCAGTCACTAAAACCTAGTGATCATGATATTGTCTGTGAAAGAAAGCTAATTCAGCAATCCCTCCCCAACCTGGAGTTTTACAGTCTAAAAGAATTATTTTATCCAACACACTTTTGAAAATGCTACCTTTTTTCCCTCTCCTCGCCACATTTTGATGCTTCCATCCAAGAGCAAAATAGATTTGGATTATTCCAGGAGCAGAATTACCTGGCGTTCTACCTTGGCCCCTGGGTGCTTACACAGATGGCTCTGGGCACGGGCAAGGCCGTGGGGAGGAGGTCTACACCCATCTCATCCACCCGCTGTGGGTTCATCAAAGTGAAAGTGTCGGTCGCTCAGTTGTGTCTGACTTTTTGCGACCCCATGAACTGCAGCCCACCAGGCTCCTCTGTCCATGAAATTCTCCAGGCAAGAATACTGGAGTGGTGGGTTGCCATTCCCTTCTTCGGGGAATCTTTTGGACCAGGGGTCCAAACCCCCATCTCCTGCATTGCAGGCAGATTCTTTCCCTTAGCTCCCTCTGAACACAGAGAAGACCTCCTGCTCCTGCCAGACAGGGATGATGATACCAAGCCCTGGCAGGACTCTGGGCAGGAAGACGAGTCTCAGCTTAGCAGGCCTCCTCCCCTGCTAAAGCCATGTTGGCAGTGGTGACAAACTCTGAATCTTAACCTCAGTCCTCTTAGGAAGAGCTCACAAATTCTCAGTTCCACCTGCTTCCCATGAGCCCAGTTGTGTCATTCTTACACATTGATTGAGTGTGAGCGTGTATGTGTGTGTGTGTTGATATATGACATGTGAGTACGGGTCCAGAGAAGCCTTGACCAACAACAGAACTGGAATCCCAGCTCGCCCTCCCAAAATCTGACAGCAGGATGAGTCAGGAAGCCACGACGGGCCCTGTTTTTTGATGGCAGACAATGCGGCAAGAAGCAGAACCATGGGAAGTGGTGATGCTATGGGCAGCTGGCTGAGAGGTGGGCTCTGCGTTCCAGAGGAATGCAGAGCCCACCTCCCCCTTCCCACCCCAGCTGCCCCCCCGCCCACCCCCAGCCAGGGCTGCTGGGCTGGCCTGGATTCCAGGATCCCTCTCCCCATGCATCTCTCTCCTCCATCCCACAGAGACTAGGAGATACGGCAGCAGCCATGGACCTTCTCCTCCATCTCCTCTATGGGGGCCTTGAACTTCAAGAGCGGGGGGTCTCCACTGGTGACCGTGTAATACACCGAGGTCCCGTTGCTGCTGTATGGAGAAGTTCTGCCTCCGATCAAGGGGGCCTTGCCTTCGCTGCTTCCCTCGCCCGTCCTGGACACGCCGCTGCCCAGGTGGGTGCTCAGGAAGGGGTGGCTGAGCAGCTTGGCCGCAGCCCGCTGCCTCTTCAGCTCCAGAAGCGTCTGGGGGCTCTGTTCCTTGTAGCCACTCCAGGACGGGGTGGCGTCGGCCACGCCAGGGTTGCCATAGGCCATGCTGTAGTCGGGCACCTCGTGCACTTTCCAGACGTCCCCGTTGGACAGCGCATACTGGTAGGTGCTGACCGGAGCCCGGAGGCCGTTCTCAACAGGCACGTCCATGTCGCTGCGTGGGATCTTGGTGGGAAACTCGGAGAGCAGCACGGGCTTCTCCAGCCTGGGGTTCTGAGGGTGAGAAGGACAACGTCATCAGCTGGCTGGGGGAGCTGAAGCCCGCCCCGACTTGCGCCTCTACTGAGGGCATGATTGCTTGAACCTGTCCTCTTCCATTTTCCCTAACTGGGTAATAAGACCTTCATTTTCCTCTGGGGAACCGCACCAGTCTGTGGGTTTTGATAGACCCAATTGACTCCCATCTTTGCTCGGGGAGAGAAGCCATGACCCCGGGACCCCAATCAGTAAACTCACTATTGGAATTGGTTCAGGAATGGGTTCAGAAATTGGTTCCATGAAACTCAACCCTGGGACTTACTGCTAGAAAAATTGGGGAAGAGCCGCTCTGTTTCTGTAGGAACAGCAGGGGTGAGAATCATAAACTGGGGAGACAGCACACCAAAGGGCCTGCTTGGCTGTGAAACCAACATTAAGGAAGGAGAGACGACAGAGACACTGCACCCTCGTGATACGTTCTTTTTTTTTTTTTTAAAGATTTTTTTGATATGGATCATTTTAAAAGTCTCTACTGCATTTATTACAACATTGCTTCTGTTTCTATGTTTTAGATTTTTGGCCTCGAGGCATGTGGGATCTTATCTCCCTGACCAGGGATTGAACCCATAGCCCCTGCAATGGAGGGTAAAGTCTGAACTACTGGACTGCCGGGGAAGTCCCCTGATGATATGTTCTGAGCCACCGGATCCAGTTGGCCCAGACTTTCCAGTTACCCAAGCCAGTACATTCTTTTTGTGTGTGTAAATCAATCTTAACTGGGTTTTTTGGTCACTGAGAATTCTCTCTATATACTCCTGGGGTATCTCTGCTCCAAATGCGAGTGGTTCTTACTCAGAGATCTTTTCCACCTAGCAATCTCTGGGTAATGAGAGCTGTAAAAGGAGCTGCTACCTAGAAACTCTAAGGAAAAGGTGGATACATTTGACAGTAACAAAAATATAAAGCATACCAAAAATCACTATAAACAAGGTCGAAAGACACACAAAAAACTTCTTTTTTTGGCCACACAACAGCACATGGGATCTGAGTTCCCCAGTCCCTGCCCCCTGCAATGGAAGCAAAGTCTAAAACACTGGACCACCAGGGAAGTCCCCCCACTTATTTTTCTATAAACCTAAAACTACTAAAAAAAAAAAAATAAAGCCTATTTGTTAATAAATAAATAAATAAACAAATACAATGCCTGAGTCCAAAGCCTGGAGACTGATTTAATCAGCTGGGATTATGGCCTGGACATCAGTTTTAAAAAAAAACAAAAACAAAACGTCTCCCCAAGGTGATTTTCTTATACAATTTAGATAGTGAACCACTGGTTGAAGAGACAGGGTTGTCTCATCACGCTGTGCCGGCTATCAGGGAGTCAGCTCTGCCAAAAGTGGGTACCACGGCCAGCCCTGGGGGCTATCAGTGCACAGTCCTGTCAGAAACCTGACTTGGGAGTCAGGCTGAGCAAACACGCCCTCAGATCAGTGGTTCTCAAATTCTTGCATGCATCCGAATCCTCTGGAGGGCTGGTTAAAATACAGAGTGCTGGGTCCCAGCCCCAGGATTTATGATTCAGTCCATCTGGTGTGGGGCCTGAGAACCTGAGTTTCTCTTTTAATTGGAGGATAACTGCTTTACTATGTTGTGTCGCTTTCTGCCGAACATCAACATGAATCAGCCATAGGTATGCATATAGCACCCCCCTGAACCTCCCTCCCGCCACCCCACCATCCCACCCCTCTAGGTTATCACAGAGCACCAGGTTGAGCTGGGCTTCCCTGCTGACTCAGGCAGTAAAGAATCTGCCTGCAATGCAGAGACTTGGGTTCGAACCTTGTGCTGGGAAGATCCCCTGGAGGAGGGCACGTAACCCACCCCAGTATTCTTGCCTGAAGAATCCCCACGGACAGAGGAGCCTGGAGGGCTACAGTTCATGGGGACCCAAAGAGTCGAGCACACTCTCATATCTTTGGGGTGGAAGGGCTGCCTGGAAAAGGGAACGTAGGAGCTTTCTGGGGTGAAATGCGTATACTTTCATCTGAAGGTACACATTGGTAAGAGGTCATTGAAAATTTCATTTAAGATTTCTGGAGGTTATACAAGTTACACCTCTATCACAAAGAAAAGATAATTAAAGCATATCGGGGAAGCATCTGAAATGTGATTTGATTTCGATCTACAACTCTCTTCTTTCCTAAGCCCCAGGCTCAGGTGGGAAGAGGCAGAACACAAGCTCCACGTTGCGGGCTCCATCCCAGTCAGTGCTTCTATGGGGATTCTCTCTTTTTAAAAAACACTTTGAATCAAATCTTTTTTCAACATTTATTTGGCCGGGCTGGGTCTGTAGTTGTGGTTTATCCCCCGATCAGGGATCAAACCCAGGTCCCTTGCATTGGGAGCAAGAAGTCTTAGTCCTTGGACCACCAGGGAAGTCCCTCTTTTTTTAAAAAAAAAACTTTTTATTTTATATTGGAGTATAGCTGATCAACAATGTTGTGATAGTTTCAGGTGGGTGGCAAAGGAACTCAGCTGTACATATACGTGGATCTATTCTCCCCCAAACTCCCTTCACAATGGAGATTCTTTGGAGCATATGCCTTCACTCCTGCCAGCAAGACAAGCCCTCACTTGGCCTCCTTGTTCACACAGGGAAGCAGGGTCCCACTGAGACATTTTGCATCCCTCCAAGCAACATTGACTAGAAATGTTTTCAGCTGCTCTTTGTGTGATGGTAGAACCACAAAGGCACACCACTGCTGGTATGGTCAGCCCCTTCCTTCTTGTGCCCGATAGTTCTGCTCTGGTCCCAAACTTGCATACTCCACCCAGCAAGACTGCAGCCAGGCATGGACCTGAATGCATCAGTACTGAGGCAAATGAAAAGTGAAAGTGAAAGTGAAGTCGCTCAGTCATGTCTGACTCTTTGTAACCCATGGACTGTAGCCTGCACCAGGCTTCTCCATCCATGGAATTTTCCAGGTAAGAATACTGGAGTGGGTTGCCATTTCCTTCTCCAGGCGATCTTCCCAACCCAGGGATCGAACCCGGGTCTCCGGCATTGCAGGCAGACGCTTAAATAGCATCCCCCTAAAACTCACATCCACCCCACATCTCTGAGTGTGACCCTATTTGGAAGTAGGGTCTTCACAGGTATAATCAGTTACATTAAGATGAGGTCACACTGGACAAGGGTGGACACTAATCCAATGACTGGTGTCTTTCTAAGAGAAAACAAAGACACAGACCCATATACAATGAAGGCCACATGGAGCCAGAGGCAGAGATTGGAAGCACGCTAGCAAAAAGCCAAGGAGTGCCCGAGCCGTCAGACGCTAGGAGACAAGCATGGAACAGAGTCCCCTTCCAATACCCAGAGGAAATCAAGCCTTTAGACACCTTGATTTTTTTAGACTTATGGCTTCCAGAGCTGTGAGAAAAGACATTTCTCTCACTTCAAGCCATCCATTCATTACAATAGTTCTCAGAAAACAATACAGCATCTTCTAAGGAAAGCGGTTTAACGCCCAAACCATTATCTACTCCTGGAGCCAGCTTCTTAGATGTTCTGCCAGCCCCCTACTACTTTTCAAAAATTTTCTTCCAACCCAATATCTCAACACAATTCTCAACATCTTGTTAGGTTTCCCCTAAAAAAGTTTTAGCACCCTTCTCTCCCAGAGTGGCTGCCCTATGGAACCTTCTCCTCTGGGAAGCCAGAACAAAATCTCTCTTCTGCTGGAGCTCAAGCAGACACATGGTGATCACTTGCTCCCTGGCAGTTATGAGCCCCTACTGTGTGCCAGTCACCCAGCTCTGATGCAAACACATCCTACACTCGCCTCAAAAACCATGGTAGGCACCGCCATCAAACAGGATCCACCTGGTTTAAAGGCGATGGCCAGCTGACCTCCCTCCAAAGGCCCTGAGATGAAGAAGCAATGCCAAGCTGGGGTTCCAACTGTCCCCCTCCCATGGCAGCGGTCAGTGGGGCAGGGCACGAGGCAAGTTCTCACCGGGTCCTTATTCTCTTGGTCTGTCCTGGTCTCCCTGACGTCCCCGTTGTAGGTAGAGTTCCGCTGATCCTCAGATGCGCTCCGCTGCTGCCAGAGTATAGCCTCTCCCTCATACTCCTTCCTGTACAGGTTGGTCCTGTCGGACAGGCTGGCTCGACGTACCACCTTCCTAAGGGGAGACAGGGGTGGTGGGAGGCTGCTTCCAGGCTCCGTGGGCGGGAGCATCCTTGGGCACCCCTGGTTGTCCCGCCCCCGACTCACCCTCGGCTGCCTGCACTGGACGTCCTCCTGCTCAAAGATGACTTATGCCTCAGCTGCGACTTCATGATCACATCATGCTTGTGTTTCAGCTCCAACAGCAGGACTTTGAACTCCTCCTCTTCACACAGGTCTGAAAGCGTGGAGGAGTCCATGGGGGGGGGCCACGCAGAGAAGGGGCTGGTGATCCCCGAGGGCACTCCAGACCAGAGGAACAGCCATCCCAACCCACTGAAAACTCCCAGCATCTTTTGTGCTGTGGGTGGAGGGGCAAAAGCAGTGCCAGCCTTATTTCCTGGGCTACAACCCACTCCTTAGAGGAGTGTAAGCAGAGGAAACCCCAGGTCCTATGCACAGTCCCAATTCCCAGCTATGACTGAAGGATTCATACGCCTTTGATCACTTCCAAGAGGAGTCATCAATCCCCCACTGATAGAAAATGTATCGAGAGAAACCAGCAGGTACCCCATGGAGCCCAAGCAAGACATTATGGAAAGATATTGAAATCATATATCCCCACCCACTCAATCCCTCTCATCTTTTAGTTCATCTGTCTACCTATTCGCTGAACCAGTCATCCATAGATTCATCCTCTACCCACCCATCCTCTTATTCATTCATCCATACATTGACCCACTTATTCACCCATTAATTTATTCATCAAACTATCCGTCTACCATCTATCCAACCATATATTCAACCATTTATCCTCCACTCATCAAAAAAATCAATGAGTGCCGATGTATGTACCAGGTATGGTCCTTCTGAACTTACCAATTGGCATCTCATCCATGGACGTCCTAGCACTGAGACTGGCCCCATGGGACACCAACAGCTCCGCCATCTGCATCTGAAATACAGGAAGAAGCCCAGGTTCCCCCCTGCCCATAGCTGAGAAAGCCTAGGAGTTGGAAAGAGTGAGTTCAAAGCTTCTTAGGATGTGATCCAACGAACAGTAGGGCAAAGCTGACTCCCAGGGGAGGCTCTGCCCCATAAAGCTAGGAACTCCGACAAATGCAATGGGCTTGACACCTCCTCCAGCATGAATCAGCCATACCGAGGGACAGAAGGAGTCAGCGCTAACTCCAGAGAGGTCAGGTGTTTAAACAGGAATGGCGAAAACTACAGAGATTTCTGTCTGGGAAACAAGTGGAAAAACTCAAGACAGAAATGTGGAAACTTTTCTAATTTGGCAAATTGGATTCTCATCTTGTTAGGACACAACTTGACAATCCTTTTTGCAAACTCCGTAGGTCTTTTCACATCCTACACGCTGGCTGTAGTCAACACCCTAAGTGGGTCTGGTGTTCTTTTGAACCAACTCCCAGCCCAAAGGTCAGCAGGGTGGCCACAAGCTGGCCTCTCTCACAGCCCTGTGGGTGATAACTACCTGTCCCCAGAAGGCAGCCGCATGCAGGGGCTCCCAGCCATCCCAGTCCTTCACATCCACGCGTACACCATGGTCCAGGAGGAGCTCGGCTGCCCGCAGGTATCCGTTGGCTCCGGCTATGTGCAGCTGAAGGAGAGGAAAGGGGTCAGCACTCCCCATGGGGGCTGGTCCCTCTGGTCCCTCATTTGGAGGCAGGATAGTCCACTCCCCTGCCCAAGGCCCAGATCATACTTGGGGCCGGTAGAATGGAACAGAAGGAGGTGTAAATACCAGCCACGTTACAGAGCATTAGTAAGTCTGCAGTATGGAAACAGAAGGTAAGGAAGAGAGGTGAGTCCTTCTTCTCTGTCTTTGAGCCCCTGTCGTTAAGGCATCAGCATTTACTGAGTGCTTACTATGCACTAAGCCCTGTAGATGGGGTCTCAGAGGTCCAACAGAACACAGCCCTGATGGCCAGATGCCGCGTCATCCAGGGGTCAGGTTGCTGTAAGTTTCTGGCAAACAGAGGTTTGGGGTTTTTGTCTTTTTTTTTTTAATTTTCAGAAAAAAACAAAACAAAACAGGATGTGATCTGGAACAGGCACACACGAAAACTGATATCACTATCTGATTTATAAATGTTTGATGCTTGCCAGCTATTAAGAATGACACAGAGCCGGCCAGACATTAAAAACTGTAGGGCCACATACATAGCTGGGAATAAAAAGTATGACTGGGAGATTGATACTGGTGAGTTTTTTTATTTTTTGTTTTACTAAAGTATAGTTGATTTACAGTGTTTCAGGTATATAGCAAAGCAATTCAATTATTCATCTGCATGTATTTTTTTTCCAGATTTCCTTTCCCATTACAGGGGATTACAACTACCATTACATTGAATATAGGTCTCTGTGCTACACAGTAGGACCTTGTTCTTTATTATATAAATACAAGTGATCATGTTAATAATAATAATGAGTTCATCACCAGGATCTATTGAGAGTTTACAGGCTCTGTTGAGCACCTACATGCAGAATCTCATTTAGTCCTCCCAACAACCCCGTGGGGAAGGTACGCCTCCCTGCTTCACTGGGAAGGACTGAGACCTAGTGTGTGCCCAGCCATGTCAGTGAAGCCGCTCTGAGGCCAGTCCAGGAGGAGCAGACCCCTGTGTCCATAGGGCTGAGCCACAGACCCGGTGGAGCCCCTTCCAGGGCAGGCAGTGTCCTGGCACAGCCTGGCCGTAACTTCGCCCAGTCTTCATGCAGCGTCCAGTCCAACTACCTGACTCAACTCCTGAGTGCTGGGCTGAGCAGGTGATCTGAGTGGGGACCCCTTTCTTAGAAAAGAGCATGAGGCACAAAAACCTAGAAAGAGGACATCATCCACTGTTGGGTATATATCCAAAGAAAAAGAAAACACTAATTCGAAAAGACACAGGCGCCCCAATGTTCATAGCAGCATCATTTACAAGTGTCAAGATATGGAAACAACCTAAGTGTCCATCAACAGATGAATGGATAAAGAAAGTGTGGTGTATATATAGATAATGGAATACAACTCAGCCATGAAATAATGGCATTTGCAGCAACATACGTAGACCTAGAGGGCATTATGTTTCATGAAAGAAGTCAGACAAAGATAAATACTCTATGTTATCACTTATACATGAATTTAAAAAACAAACAAATATATGTAACAAAACAGAAACAGACTGACTAATAGAGACAGGGAAAGGGCAGGGGAAAGATAGGGGTAGAGGACTGAGAGACACAAACTACTATGTATAAAACAAATAAGTAAAGTATATTGTACAGCACAAGGAAATATAGCCATTATTTTGTAACAATTTTTAATGGAGTATAATCTATAAAAAATATTGAATCACTGTGTAATACACCTGAAACTAGTATATTATAAAGCAACTCATATGTCACTGAAATAAACAAATAATCAATTTTAAAAGTTTTATTTAAAAAAAAAGAAAAGGGGATGAGGCAGAGGTTGGACTCAGGAATGGGGTGGGAGAAGTTCAATGATCACATCTGGGCTACCATGTCAAGCCTGAGGGACAGTGAGGGAACCTGGTACTGCTGAGCCCTACCTGAAAAGCTGAAGATTCTGAGACCCTGAGCGCTCATAATCGAATGGACCGCAAGCCTAGGACAGGATGGGCCCAGCCATGCACAAGGTTGAGGGGGGCTTCCAAGGCCATATTCTAGTTCTCAGTTTAGAGGCTGCAGAAGCAGACCTCCCCAGTACTGAGCTGTATCATGCTATGAAAGCCTATGAAGAAAGATCAAGAAGGTTTCACTGACACTTGAATTTAAACAGTGAGTGAAGCTAATGAGGCAGATAGAGAAGATTCCATCATTCTCTGTCTCCAATGTCTAGTAAAGCATGTGGCACAGAGGATGTGTATGTTGACGGGATGGATGGGTGAACCAATGGATGGATGGGTGGACCAATGATGGATGGTTGGACCAATGGATGGATGGGTGGACCAGTGGATGGATCGGTGGACCAGTGGATGGATGGGAGGACCAATGGATGGATGCGTGAACCAATGGATAGATGTGTGAACCAATGGATGGATGGGTGAATCAGAGGATGGGTGAACCAAAGATGGGTGGGTCCCTGGGGGTGTCTGGGCTCTGAAGTCAGGGAACCAGAAGAGAGGCTGTTGCAGCAACATCAGGGACAGACAATGAAACAAGGCACTGAGGTGGGAGAGGGTACACTGAGGCAGGAGAATGAACGGTGCAAAGCAAGATGGCCTGGATGAGTGGATGAACGTGGCACCCGTCTTGAAGCAGGAGACATCATGGGAAGAGGTGGAAATAATGAACTCAGAATGGACACCTAGAGTGTAAGGTAAAGGAGAAGTTTGGAGACAGAAGAGGTGAACAGCAGAGTCAAGCCTCCCCAACTCACGGCTCCCAACTCCCAGCCCCAGCTTCTCAGAGCAGATGATTCCTGCTCTGCTAACTCTCCACATTCCAGGGGCAACCCTGTCCCCAAAAGGGGGAGGAACTTCAAGGCTACAGACAGGCCCCCACTGTGTAGGCTTGACCTCCACCCAGTGCTGGCCCCATTCAGCTCCAGCTGGTCTGGGTTCTGGTCCCGACCCCCCAGCCCAATCCAGCCTGGTCCCTCTCCTCACCAGTGTGGCCCCCTGGGCATCTACCCAGTCAAGGTCCTGGCCAGCTGCGATCATACAGTGAATGTCTGAAATCATCTGCTGCTCGGGAGCTGCCCGCATCTCGTTGATTTTCTCCTGGGTGATGCCTGCAGTGGGGGAGGGGGGATTGAGTCAGCACTCCCAGGCAGAGAACCCATGGGGGAGGGGAGGGAGGGCAGAGCGGGAAGGTATGACTCCCCTTTCCTAGGGTCTGCCAGTCAAGGGGGTAAACAGACGTGCTCAGAGGTCATTTCTCCCAGGCCCAGAGAAAAACGAACACCACGTGCTGGGCCATGAACAAGAGCCTGGAACCCAGTGGCGCTGTGTTAATATCAATGACTGTTACATACACAGCTCTTCTACCTGGCAGTCCCGACCACCCACCTACCCACCTCCTGGCTCTATCTCATCCTTTAGGTCCAGCCTGGATCTCATCCTTTAGGTCCAGCTGGCATCCCCTGCCCACTCTATCTGACCAGGTCTCTGTTCATTTCTTCCACTTCATCCACAGCTGTGTTTGCAGCACCAGGCACGATGCTCAGTGAATCTCTATTACAGCCACAACTGAATTACTGAATATATCACTTCTGAATGGAGAGCTGAATAAATCGAGGTGGAGGGACTCAGAAACACATTTTCAAGCCTGAATCTCTGGCTAAAATGTAAGTGTTACTGGCAGCTACTAATGGAGTTTAAGGAGAGCGTGATTTGCTCTGAAAAAAAGGTCCATGAAAGCAAGCATTCTTGGATAGAACTCAGGGGAGGTCTGCAAACTTGAGGGGAGACAAAGAAGGACCTGTTTATTTTCACTAACTTTCTGTTTGTTCATTTTCGGCTGTGCTGCGTCCCTGTTGCTGTGCGCGGGCTTTCTCCAGCTGTGGCGAGCGGGATCTACTCTCTAGTTTTGGGGCCCAGACTTCTCAATGTGATGGCTTCTCGTGTTGGGGAGCAGGGGCTCTAGTGCACACGGGTTTAGTTGTCCAGGGGCATGTGGGATCCTCCTGGACCAGGGATCAAATCCATGTCCCCTGCCTGCCAATGCATTCTTGGATTCTTAAACACTGGACCACCAGAGAAGTCCTATTTTCACTAACTTTTCAATGAGATATAGCATTTCCTTCTAGTCCAAATTCACAGTAGAATTGGCAGTGCCCACGACTTTGTCACCAACAGAAACTATAGGTATTTTCACACCATGTTATTTTATTGTTTCATGAATCAATGAATTTCTATATTACACATTTAAAAGCATTTGGTGAGCCCTACTTAAATAGCAGTCGTTTCCTTTATAATCCTATGGCTTTGATAAGTGCATTAAAAAATACAGAAGGGGTGGGTCCATAGATTCACCAGACTGGCACAAAAATTAGGAAGTTCTACAGAAAGTGGACAGGGAAAGCTCCAGGGCCAGGGAATGGGCAGGCCAAAAGGGCGGTTCCTGCAGCCATCTGGGCAGAAACACAAGGGCAGAGATGAGGGGAGGACCCAGACTGCAGGCCAGGGTCTGGATTTGAGACATATTTCTAAAGAGGAGGCCTTTCAGGAGCATGTACTGGGGTGATGGGGGCGGGCTGGTCTCGGCTGCATTTGTTTCCTCTCTGAAGCTCATTTGTGAGCTGAGAACAGCCCACATCTTGTTTACCCGGGGTCCCTGGCAGCCCAAGTGGTGCCTGGCACAGAGCAGGCAGCCGTGAATGTTCTTGACTTTGTATTTTCCCAAATGGGAATATATCTTTATTGTGAATGTTTTGAATTGAACCGTCACAGCTGATGAAGAGACGGGGCCAGCTGAGGCTGCCCATGTGTGTGGGTGACACAGATGACAGCCGGGCCCATCCTCGTGCACCGCGCGTTTTCCAGGCTTGTTCTGTGTTCGCATCTTGTCCATCACGTGGGTAACAACCACCGTGGGGTCCCGTCCCAGTTCCTGAGCACTGAGCGATGGGTACGTCTCTAGGTAACTTGTTCACCTGCACTGATCTGAGAGATGCTCGCCACAGCCCCACACCTAGCCCACTTCCCAGCAGGCGGCCCTGCCCTTACCCTGGTACGCCATGCACGTCTCGATGACATCCAGGGTGGGCTCATCCTCACAGAGGTCATAGGGCATGTTCCCATCAGAGTTGACAGCGAGCAAGTCGGCTCCACTGCAGAGAGAGGACCAGGGTGAGGGCCAGGAACGTGCAGAGGGTTGGTCTGACTGCCTCAACTGTCCAGCCTCTCACCCACACCCCACTGGGCACCCCAACACCCACAACCCAACCACAGTGCAGCCCAGCAAGGACAGCATCTCCAGGATCTCAGGGGGCCTGGGGGGGAAGGGGCCACAGTCCCAGGAGAGCTGTGCCACTTTCCCCAGCTTCCTCCTCTGTTGAACCAGCAGGTAGGCACTTGAGGATAGATGTCAAATAAGAAAAGACAAAATGAATGGAGGCAGCACCACTAAGCATCTGCTAAGACCCAGGCTTGATCTAAGCACTTTACACACATCATCTGATATAATCCTCATAATAGTCTTTTTGGTTGAGTACTATTGGCCCCATCTCACTCAAGAGAAAACAAGGTTCAGATAGGGTCAGTTACTTGTCTGAGCTCACATAGCTAGGATATGGGAGGTTCAAGATGGAAATTTGGCTCTTTCATGGCCAGCTCTTTTTACTTCTCCCTGTCCTATTTCAATCTTGGACCAAGTACAGAAACACCCAAGGCTACCCTAATTCCTCCTCTAAGTCCCTGACCCAAAGGCAAACCAAGACAGGGTAGGAAAAGGCCTTGGGACCCTGTGGGAGAATTCCCCTTTGGGGCCAGTGGCTCCCAAGCACATGGGCCTGGGCTTCCCTGTGGCAGAATCACTCAGACACCACTAAAATAAAATGAAGCTTCCTGGGCTCCACTTTAGACCTCCCAAAACAGAGTCTCTCAAGAGGATGGGGTGGGGTTGAGGATTACACATTTTAGACCCATGATTCTGGTACAGATTGGCGCTGGGGACGGGTACCATGCTGGTATCCACTTCCTTTTCCTCTCGCACCACCTCTGATTGGATGGTGGCCATCTGATGCTCCTGCAGACTTAGCCACACCCAGGTTCTCATTGGAGGTGTGGGCACGGGCCACCTGCCAGTCCTCTGGCCTAACAGCCCTCCCCTGGGACCTCTGAGCTCCTGTGTGCCCATGGGTAAGCTGATCCACCTCTCTGAGCCAGGGAAGCATCTCTAACATCCGAGCAGCCATTCGATGCGCCCTGGCTGCTCTCCTGAGACCTCCGCCAAAGGCCACTTGCCCTCAGCCGCTATTCTTGAATCCCTGTGCTCAGATGCTCCCCTGGGACTTCAGCCACCATTGATCTCGCTTTGTCTCGGTTCTGGGACTGAAATCACCTGATTTCCTGCTGAGTTTCTCAGGACTTCTGCGTCCCTGAGTGTTCAGTGCCCAGCACAGGGCTTGGCCCAGCTCAAATGCCCACCAATCATTAGATGAATTCAATGAAACACACTTGAAATTCAAGGTTGCCTCTTCTCTGTGTTTGAAGAGCCTGAGCAGACTGGAAAGAAGTTCAGGGTGGGGGAAAACTGTTCAGAACTCTACAGAGGGAAATGGCCTTACCCCTGGGAAAGACATTGCTATGTGGTGTCCCCCAAAGTAGGTTCTGCCCCCAAGAAAAGCATGTGGATGGGACTTGAGAGGGCAGAGCCAAGGAAATATGCCTGCTTTTTTATAGCAAGAAAAATGGCAACAACACATAAGTATGGAGATGAATACAGGCTCGTGGGGACAGACAGAGAAAAAGAGATGAAAAGAAAGAGAATCATAGCCTGATACAAAGCCAAAGACACTACAAGAAAACTACAGACCAATATCCCTTATGAACAGTGATGCAAAACTCCTCAAGAAAATACAAGCAAACCAAATTCAGCAGCACAGTAGAAGGGTTATATGCCATGACCAAATGGGATTTATTCCTGGAATGCAAGGATGGTAAACTGTGGTGCGTATTTTATGACCATCATATCAGGAGAAAGGAAGGGAATGAAAAGAGAGGAAATGTGAATTAAGAGAGACACAGGGGAAAAGGCAATGTGAGATCAAGGAGGAAAGAAGACAGAGAGGGAAAACAGGAGAGAGAGACACAGGGATGGAAAGGGAATGTGGGGAGAAAAGGGATAGGCACCAAAGAAACAGAAAAAAAAGAGAGATGAAAGTCCTCCCCCGCCACACAAAAAAAAAAAGAAACCTGGAAAAACACCAAAGGCGCACCCATGGCTGATTCATGTCAATGTATGGAAAAACCACTTCAATACTGTAAAGTAATTAGCCTCCAATTAAAATAAATAAATTAAAAAAAAAAACAAAGGCGGAGGGAAGGCTGCTCCTGGGGAGAGAGGGGCACGTACTACTGAACGAGGATCTTCACCAGGTTAATGTGGCCGCAGGTGGCCGCGGCATGCAGAGGCGTCCACAGTTCGTTGTCCTTGGCGTTCACGTTGGCACCGTGGGAAAGGAGCAGCTTGACAATTTCCTCAAAGTTGTCGATGCAGCACTGCAAGGCGGACACAGGCAGGGTCAGCTCCAAGCAAGTCATGACGAGGGCACACCCAGTTCCCAAGAAGGACAACGGAGCCAAGCTGCCTGCGTTTGAATCCAGCTCCATTACATACATGCTGTGTGATCACAGGCAAGCCACTTAACCTTTCTGAGCCTGTTTCCTTGTAAGTAAGTTAATAACGTACAAAATAAAAATATGAAAGACAATATAAAAAGTAAAGTCAGCTATAAGATTCTTTCCAAATGTTGGTGGAACTGGATGAAATTTCGAACAAGGCTTCAAAATCTTTACTTTTTAATTTCGGAAGGCTTTCTTCAAACAAAACTGTAAGGAGAACTCTAAGTTAGATAGCCAATAAATTCAAATAGAGTGGTTCAGGCTGAAGCTGGGATGTGTGGGGGTGGGAGTGTTGAGAAGGTCCCCCTGCCCCATCAGTGGCCTCCTAGATTATAGTTTGAAACCTCTGACTTAGGAATTTCTGACCCAGAAGCTAGTTCTTGGGGAAGTCCCAAGTAACGAAGCCTCCCCCCAAAATACCCAGCTCCACCCGAGGGCTCTAGTGGGTCCTGATAAGAGTTCCTGCAAGGAGACAGCCATGTCTGTCCTCCTGCTTGTCCACACATGGGTCAGCCCCAGTGAGAAGGCAGCTCGCAGAGATACTGGGCTCCAAAAGCCACCTGAATCCCCAAACTCCAGAGAAAGAGAGCGAAAGATTCCAAGGGGACAGAGGGAGCTCAAGCCGGGGTCATGAGCAGGGAGAGGCGAGGACAGGGCAGAAGATGGGGAGCCACTTTACAGGCTGCAGGAAGGGTCTTGGATGACCTCCGGAGAAACCAGCAGGGACAGGGCAGCGGACCTGTGGCTCAGAACTGCCCATCCAGGGAAGGCTCTGCCCTCAGTGCATGGGAGATGCTGCAGCGTTATACCCAGAGGAGCAGCACAATTCAAACTTGTTTTTTTAAAAAATCTCTCCTCCAGCTGCATGCGGAGAACAGACTTTGATCACAAGCTTCTGGAGGGAGAAGAGGGAGGGTGAGAAACTATGTCAAAATCATCCCATTCAAGAGATGATGGCAGCCTGACCTACAGAAGTGACCGTGGGCATGGGGAGAAGTGACTGGATGCCAGCAGAAAGAGCGGGGCACCTGTGGGAGCCCAGGGCCTCAAGGGGGTGCGGGGATGGGGCGGCACCACAGACCCCACCCCCATTCCCTGCAGAACCAGGGGTCAGAGGGACATCCTCAGTGGTCCGAAGGTTAAGACTCCGAGCACCCAATACAGGGGACCTGGGTTCATTCCCTGGTCAGGGAACTAGATCCTGCATGCCACAACTAAAAGATCCCACATTCCACAAGTAAGACCTGGCGCACCCAAATACATACATACATACCAAATACGTGCATCCATACACACCACACACACAAATACACACCAAAATACATACATGTATACGTACCAAATACGTACACATCACACACACATACCAAATATATAAATACACACCAAATACATGCATACATACATAACAAATACATACATACATACATACTAAATACATACATATAGATTTAAAAAAGAAAAAAGAGGGGTCAGTCCTGGACATATGGAACATACAGGAAATGAGCAGAGATGGTGCCAGGTTCTCTTCATGCACCTGGCACCATCTGACCTGGGGTTCACTGGGTCTGGGGGCATCTCTCCAGGCAGGAAGGTCACGGGTGACCCAGTGGAGCAGGGCACTGCCTCAGGTGGTCGAGAGAACTGTGCAGTGGCGTGGCACCACCAGCAGAGGGCGCCAAAGGCACCAGAGTGAGGCAGCCTGGAAAGGCGAGGGTCCCCCGGAGGCCGTCACCGGCAGAAGAGTTTGGGATGGCCTGGTCCATAGGAGGAGCCAGGAGCAGCCCAGACTGTGGGGTGAGGGGACAGGAGGGCCAGAGATCCCACCACGAGGGGCTGCAGAAACATGAAGACAGGCAGGGCGGTGGACAGGTGGAGTGATGACGCACACAGAATTGCTGTCGTGTGAGAAAGAAGCCCAGGGGCTGGGCCAGCCTGCAGCTGGGAAACTCGACCTGGGTGCAGGAGTGCAGTGGGGGCTGGTACGTGGCGGAGGGGGGCAGCGTCCTCGCCTGCATTCCCCAAGGTGGGCCATGGCACCTGGCACTGGATGACTCCTCCCGCCCCCTCACTTCCCACGTTCAATCCATCACCCGGTGTGGATCGTGTCTCCTAAGAGCTGTCCCCATCCGCACTGCCCTGGCCGAGGCGTCATCATCTCTCTTTCTCCCTGTCACTCCCCTTTCACACACCCTCAGCCAGAGAGAGCTTCCTTGCTAACCCAGCCATGCTGCTCTCAGTTTACAAAACCTCTGAAGGCTCCCTGTTGCCAAGAGCAGAAAATCCATAGGAAGCTCTTGTCGCTGAGCTCCTCTGTTGTCCTGGGGCAGTAGTGATGATGACAATGACAATAACAACAGCCCCAGAAGAGCAGTAACAACAGGTCACATTGCCAATAATAAGAGCTAATGCTTTTTGAGGAGTTACTAGGGCCAGGCACTTTGCTAACTTCTGGCCATGCGTTGCCTCAGTGAATCCTCAGAAAAACATTTCCAGGGCTCTGTAGCCATGTGGGGCTAGAAGCTATGGTGCCAGACAGTGTCGATACACAGAATGTGTCATCATCATAAAGGCTGTATCGGACGGTGCTGCCCTGAGGTACACCTCAGTTTCCGGAGCTGTAAAATGGGGATGACAGTATTTCAAAGAGTTCTTGGATGATCAACCCACGCTTCACATATGTGAAGTGGTTTTGTCAAAAAGTGAACATGTGACAGATTCCCATAATAATGAGTGAAAATCATTCAATCGTGTCTGACTCTTTGTGACCCCACGGACTGCAGCCCACCTGGCTCCTCTGTCCATGGAATTCTCTGGGCTAGAATAATGGAGTGGGCTGCCATTTCCTTCTCCAGGGGATCTTCCCAACCCAGGGATTGAACCTGGGTCTCCCGCATCGCAGGCATATTCTTTACCATCTGAGACACCAGGGAAGTCCCTCCATAATAATAAATAATATCTAATATTTATACAGTGTCAGATGATGCTTATAGGGTTTTATGTATATTTATTTAATCTTCACAACAACCCAGTGACATGGGTACTTGTTATGCCTCTTTTACAGATGAGGAAAATGAGGCACAGAGAGCTTAAGCAACTTGCCCAAGGTCACACAGCTCGACTTTGTGGATGCAGGAAGCCCTACGAGACAGGAAGAGAAGCCAAGAGGACACACGGGGAGCTCCCAAGCTGACGGCTGAGGGTGGGGACTTGCCCCCGGGGCTTATGGCCAGGGCAGTGGCTACCTTTCCCACCCTCCGAGGGAGATGGAGAGGGTCTCGCCAGCCCAGGGTTCCAGAGCCTGGCCAGGCTGCATTCAAGTCCACCTGCTCTGAAACTTGGGCCAGGGCACAGGGGGTTCAGTGTGTTCACTCATTAACTCAGCAGGCACATATTGAGCACCTACTGTATGCCAACATGGTGGGGGACAAAGTGGATACACTTTGAGAAAGAGACATGATGAGCTCTGCCCTCGTGCGGTGCAGAGTCTTGGGTAAGCAGAGACCAATGCTAAATGGTCACGCTAATGGCTGGAAGGCTTCCCCGACAGCTCAGTTGGTAAGGAATCTGCCTGCAACGCAGGAGACCCCAGTTCAATTCCTGGGTCAGGAAGATCTGCTGGAGAAGGGATCGGCTACCCACTCCAGTTTTCTTGGGCTTCCCTTGTGGCTCAGCTGGTAAAGAATCTGCCCGCAATGCGGGGGACCTGGGTTCAATTCTGAGTTGGGAAGATCCCCTGGAGAAGGGAACAGTTATCCACTCCAGTATTCTGGCCTGGAAAGTTAAGAGTCGGACACGACTGAGAGACTTTCACTTTCACTTTCAATGGCTGGAATGACAGAGGTGCTCAGAGGAGGGGATGAGGATATAACAGCACAGCTCTCAGATTCTAGCTGTGCACACACCTAAACACTGGGTGAGATGCGAGGGGGAGCAGACAGTGTGTGCGAGGGACCGAGAAGTCAAACAGCTGGAAGCCTGGCAGTCAGCATAGCCGGTTCAGCAGGGGCACTGGGGTACTCCTCACCCTTAGTGTTATGGGAAGACATGGGAGGGCTCTGAGTAACATCAGCAGATGTTGGGTCTGGGTATCCCTGCAGCCACAGCATGGAGGATGGATCAGGGCAGGGATGCCTGAACGCTGGGGACCAGGGAAGGGGCTGTTGCAGTGTGAGATGATGAGAGATGACAGCCAGAGAAGCCCCTCCCCAGCCAAGGGGGGCTTGGGCCATCTCGCTCCCATAAAGAGGCTGTGTGTTATGACAGCACATGGTTCTGGCCAGAGTCCATGGCGCTGTGACCTTAGGCAGGTCCCACAACCTCCCTGTCAATCACTGCTGTCACCAGGGTGGACGGATCCTTGGTGGGTGTGAACGAACGTGCTTCGTACACTGTCAAGCTCCGAACAAACTTGCTCTGTGTGTCAAACCCTTTGCCAGGCAGCGAGGATGCAGCAGACAAAGGCTCCCTGTCCCCGGAGGCAGTGTGTGCGCCACGCACGTGGGCACGGGACTCTATGGGCGTGTCTGTAACAGACACACTCGTCTCCCGGGCAGACAAGAGCCTTTCAGAAGTGGCAGCTGCGGCTCCCCTCCCCCTCCTCCCTGAGGGTCCTGGGCAGGAGAAAGCAGGGAGATGGGGCACGTGTCCAGGTGGGGAGCAGGCAGTCAGGGTCCTTACCTGGTGCAGGGCGGTGAGTCCATCTTCGTTACACAAATCAGGGCTGACCTTATTCTTCAGGAAGTAGCGCACTGCAACAGAGGGGAAAGAGGTGACTGTCTTGTCACACAGTGCATGTGCAGGGGTGCGGGGGACCCAGGCAAGACCCACTGTCCCCCAGGTCCTGACACCATCAGTCTTATTCACTCCTTACAACCTTCCCTGCTCTATCCTCCCCCACCCACTCTAACCCTAGTTCCCATCCTGGACCCAAGTGCAAAGAGAAAGATGCGGGGTCAGAACACACATACTGGTACAACTTCTTTGCATCAATACATTCAAGTCTACCTGCTCAGAGACTTGGACCACGGCACAGGGAAGCATCAGTGAGTTCATTCATTATGTCAGTACGCACATATTAAGCACCTACTGTATGCCATTATGGGGAAGAGTGTTGAGATACACCAAGGAGCAAGACATGGACTCTGCCCTCATGCGGCTCAGAGTTTGGGAAATGAAAGACCAACATCCAATGAGCAAATGCAGCAGCCCTGCAAGACCCTTTGCAGACCTCCACACTTTAGGTTACCCATCTCTGGTCAGTCTCCAGCCAGGCCACTCCCACGGGGTGAGGTGTCCCTGAGGCCAGGGGGATGAAGCCCATGGTTTCCCTTCTGGCCCATCTTCCCCTTCCCTGTTCACATGGCTCCAGGGCCGAATGTAGAGCCTGCACAAGCCTTGTCCCCAGATCCAGCTTCCCCAGGGTGGACCACACAGCAAGAAAGTGTGCCTCCAGGCTGAAGGGGCTACCACAGGGTGGCTGTTTGCAGAGCCAATGGAGGAACCTGGCTACACAAGCTGGCTTATGTGTGTGAGGCCCTCACGATGCTAAGAAAGCCGGGGACAGAGGCCAGGGTCCTACAAATGCAGGAGCAGGCCGGCCCTGGCCCCTCAGAGGCCCTCCCATGCCCACCTAGTCTGAAAGTGTGAGTCTAAGTTGTGTCTGACTCTCTGCGGCCCCATGGACAGAGAAGCCTGGCGGGCTACAGTCCATGGACCCTATGGACCCTATAAACCCTATGGACGGTAGCCCACCAGGCTTCTCTGTCCATGGGATTCTCCAGGCAAGAATACTGGAATGGGTAGCCATTCCTTCTCCAGGGGGGTCTTCTTGACCCAGGGATCTGGTATTCCTCATTGCAGGCAGATACTTTTATCATCTGAGACACCACCTAGTCTGGCTCCCTCAACACACTAGCCGAAGTGCACCTCCCCTAATGCCCCCTGGGGGCAGTGTCTCCCCACCACCACCCACACGCTGGGTCAGGGCCACTGTGGTTTCCTAGCAGATTTGCCTCTGCTGTGGGGAGACAAACTGGAGTGAGCTGTGGAAGGGCAGAGGGAAGGTCATCCATTCTACAGGGTGAATGTCCGCTGGGCAACCCAGTGGGTGCAGGGGACGGAGATGAGGTCTCTGGAACCTCAATGGGATGGGGGCTGTCTTCATTAGGATCAGATCCAGGAACCACAGGCCCAGCGGCACCCTTGGCCTGAGTGTGACCAGAGGTCCCTGCGAGGGGGAGCCTGAGGTCTCCACCCAACTTTCTGGCAAGAGGTGACATCTCCCACAGACTTGCCCGAGATGCTTTCATCACTGCTGGGGGTCAGGGGGACAACAGTCTTATATATGGTTTACACTCAGGTCCTCTGGAGCTGCCCTGTCCACTGGGGAACCACTGGCCACAGCGAGCTCTTGAGGTTTTTCAAACTTTAACTTGTAAAAATTCAAAATTCACTTCCCTCAGTCACTCTGGACACATTTTAAGGACTCAACAACTACAAAGCAAAAGTGTTAGTTGCTCAGTCGGGTCCAACTCTTTTGATACTCCACGGACTGTAGCCTGCCAGGCTCCTCTGTCTGTGGAATTCTCCAGGCAAGAATACTGGAGTGGGTTGCCATTTCCTACTCTAGGGCATCTTCCTGACCTAAGGATCGAACCCAGGTCTCCCACGTTGCAGGCAGATTCTTTACCGTCTAAGCCACCAGAGAAGCCCCCAACAACTACAGGTGGCGACCACATTAGAAAGTGCACAAATAGAACATTTCCCATCTTCACAAAAAGTTCTATTGGACAGCGCTGTTTTGGGGCATTACATGTGGAAATTAACTGCATTACCAACTGCTCAGACCCTCCTGTGGCTCCCTACTGTTCTGGAAACAAGTGCAAAACCCTGACGATGGTGCAGAAGGTCCACCTGATGTGTGCACTGTCTGCAGGCCTCCATCTCACACAGTTCCAGCGGGACCATTCATTCACACTGTGGCCTATGAGAATGGCACCCGCTTAGGGCAGAGGAGTTCGCTCAGCTGTATACAGTACTCCCAACCTACCTGCCTCTCCAGTCTCATTTCTTAAACTCCGAACACCTTCCACATTGGTCTTTTGTCAGCTACAGAGTCACCAAATTTCCTTTGATCTCTGAACTTTTGCACTGCCTGTTTCCATTACCTGGACAACTTAGTCATCCACGCATGCATCCATCCATCCATCTAGCCTCATCCATTCATCCACCCATCCACCATCCATCCACCTACCTGCATCCATGCATCCATCCAGCCATCCACCCACCCATCCACCATCTATCCATCCACCTAACGGCATCCATTCATCCACCTATTCATCCACCCATCCACCATCTATCCACCCACCTGCATCCATTCACCCATCCAGTCATCCACCCATCCACCATCCATCCACCTACCTGCATCCATGCATCCATCCAGCCATCCACCCACCCATCCACCATCTATCCATCCACCTAACGGCATCCATTCATCCACCTATTCATCCACCCATCCACCATCTATCCACCCACCTGCATCCATTCACCCATCCAGTCATCCACCCATCCACCAATCATCCATCCACCCAGAGCCATGCATTCTATCTCTTAACACACACACACACACACACACACACACACCTGTCTCACTCCTCATCCTTCACATCTCAGCTAAAACTTCCCAGATGAAGGCACTCCCCCGTTCTGCACATCCACAGCATCTATACATCTCATATATAGCCTTATCACAACCATAATTACATAACTATTTGGGTAATTATGATGGGCTTTGGGTCTGTCTGCTGTGACCTGGCACTCACTGCTGAGGTCTGGCACACAGTAAATCTTCAACAACCCTTCCAGGACCCTGATTTACTTGGTGGCCTCCTATCTCAGTCCAAGGACACAGCTTATCAATATCTCAGCACAGCAGACCACCCTGCAGGGCTGACCCGAATGGCTCACATCTGGAGTATTCAGCGCTGCCCACAAGGACCTCCTACCAGGATGCACGGTACTGGTCTCAGCCTCAAGGCCACGTTGAGAACACTATGGCAAAGCCACTGATCACTGTGGCCCAGCCTGTCCACAGGCCACAGGGGTGCCCTGGGCCTGACATCTGTCCTTTGGAAGAGAAGTGACCACGGCGTCCCTGGGCATCACAGAAGGTTCTAGAAGGTTCTGCTGCCATTAGGCCAGGGTTCAAATCCTTTGGGGGTGGCTGGTGAACTAGGCTTCCAGTCCGGGAGACGCTCTTTGAGGCAGAATTTAAGCGTCAGCTGCCAAAAGCAGTCTTTGTGTGCAGTAATTATTGGGGTGTTCTCTGTGCGACGTGGGAACCTAAGGCATATAATTACTCCAATGTCGGCAGTTATTTTCAGCCCAAGAGGTGGGACAAGTCATCTCCGTCTCTAAGGAGCCGTCGATAGTCATGACCCAAGGTCCCCCGCCTGGTTCTGGACACAACCCACTGGAGCAAAGACTCCACCATCCAGGACCTAGCCAGGCTTTCCTGCCTCTGGGGTTCAACAGCAAAATGATTCTTCTGGACTTACCTGGTGGTCCAATGGTTAGGAATCTGCCCTGCCAATGCAGGGGACACGGTTTGATTCCCTGGTCTGGGAAAACTCCACATGCCGCAGGGCGACTAAGCTCGTGCGCCACCACTACTGAGCCCTCAGCTCTAGAGCCTGTGCTCTGCAACGAGAGAAGCCACCGCAAGGAGAAGCCCGCACCCCGCAGCTAGAGAGTAGCCCCTGCTCATTGCAACCAGAGAAAGCCCTCTCGCAGCAACGAAGACCCAGTGCAGCCATAAACAAATAAATACATTTTTAATGTTAAAAAACCGATTCCTCTATTCCTGTATCAACACTGTCTTCTTACTGAGCCCCTCCTATGCACCCAGGTCGATGCACAACTGCTTTGTTTCATGGGTTCATGTCTAATCATTCCTCCTATGGAGAAATGGAGACAGAGACTCAGAGAAGTACAGCTCACCGCCACATGAGACGGAGAAGAGGAAATCAGACCCTCTGATTTCTAAGCCCAGACTCTTGACCACAAGGCTGCTCTTTTCTGCCCCTGGGGCCAGGCATGGCGACCAGCAGTGCTGGAGTATTCAGAGCTGGGCCAAACGCTGGTGCGGGGAGGAGGGGGATGGGAGCGTGGGCAGAGTGACCTCCGCTCTGTAAGCATCGGAGGCCCTTGAGTCCCAGGCCAAGCCTCTTCTTGCAGACAGAGGGGCTCAGAGATCTGCAGCCAGGACAGCAGAAACACCGCAGCCCCCAGAGGGCATGGAGAGACATCTCAAGGGCCAAGTTAAACACAAAGTTGCTTCCTCTCACTCCCTACTTAAAACTCTCTGCTGGCTCCATACTGCTCTTAAGACTAGAGTTCAGGGCTTCCCTGGGGGCTCGGTGGTAAAGAATCTGCCTGCCAACGCAGGAGACACAGTTTCGACCCCTGGTCCAGGAAGATCCCACAGGCCATGGAGCAATAGAGCCTGTGCTCCAGGGCCCAGGAGCTGCAGCTACTGAAGCCTGGGTGCCCTAGAGCCCGTGCTCCACAAGAGAAGCCACAGCGATGAGAAGCCCACACACCGAAGCTAGAGAGCAGGCGCTGCTCGCCACAGCTAGAGAAAAGCCCGTGCAGCAACAAAGGCCTGGCACAGCCTAAATAAATAAATAAATAAAATTATACATAAAAAGAACAGAGTTCAGAATGCTTCCTTGGCCTTCACTGGGTCAGC